AGGAGAGACAGGTCCTTGGAGAGGGACATCATGATTGGTAGGGTGGAGGGACAGCGCAGGAGGGGAAGGCCCCCTATGAGGTGGATTGATTCAGTGACTGGGGTAATCGGGATGGGTGTGTCGGAGGCAGTGCAATTGGCGCAGGATAGAGCAGGGTTTAGGGCTATTGTACATAGGGTCACTATGAGTCGCAAGCGACTCGATGGCACATAACAACAACAACAACAATCTAGACCCTAGGGACGCTCCTCCAGGAAGAGAATACTGTCCCCACCGAGTAGTTTTCTGTAAAGACCACAGCTGCTTTTCTTTCTGTTGTTCTTGTTAGGTGCCATCAGGTCGACTCTGATGCAGCGTCCCTGTGGACAACAGGTCAAAGCCTTACCTGGTCCTGCACCATCCGTACAAGCTCCCCTGGGCTTCAGGCCACTGTTTGCAGTCCCTGTGCCAATCCAGCTCCTGAAGGCTCTTCCTCTCCTTCACGGACCCCTCTGCTCTTCCAAGCATGGTGTTCTTCTCCAGGGACTCGCCCAAAGTCTGTGAGAGAAACCTCATTATCTTGGTCTCCAAGGAGAAACCTGTCTGTCTGCACTTCGTCCAAGATAAGTTCATTTGTTCTTTGAGTGGATCACGGAATATTCACATTCCTTGCCAGAATCAATGTGAAGGCTCATAAAGGAGACACAGCATAGTCCAGATCATTCCAGAGCTTGGCAGAGTCTGATCTGGCAAGACAGTGGCACTGTCTTCATGACCGTGGCACGTTTAGGGGGCTGTGGTGGCTCGTACGTCCATCCGCCTCACGAGGGCTGCCTTCGTGTGTGGCCAACCCTCTGCTTTACCAACCACAGTGTCCTTTCTCATTGGCTGGTCTTCCCTGCAAGACCTTTTGGGTTGATGTCGAAAGTTATCAAGCCTAAGTCTCAGCAGAGCCAGCCCCTCCTTGTTCCTCAGCTGCATTCTGGCTGTATTTCTTCTCAGATTTGTTCCTTGCTTTGTCAGGTCGTCGTGTATTTCCTATAACACCTCATAAACACCACAGTCAGAGAGCATCAGTTCTTCAGGTCAAGGGGAGCCTGACTCATACTCACAGTCCACGGAGGTTCTAAGGTAGTCACTCTTTCATGGGCGAGGTCTGCCCATCTTTGTTCCTCAGGGTGGCTGGTGGATTCAAGCTGCCAGCCTTTTGGTCCTGCACTACACCACCAAGACTCTCTGGGACTGTGTGTAAGTTAATGTAGTAACACTCAGGGAATGATTTCCAAACAAGTCCAGGGGCCTCTTTGAGTAAGAACTAGAAAGTTCTGACTCAGAAATGTGTGGGAAGCCAAATTTCATACCGAATGGGTTTTTTTTTTAAATTATTATTATTTTTGTGTGCGGGTACCATCAAATCAGATCTGACTGGTACAGGAGGAGATTGCCCCTCCTTCCTCGGCAGAGCATCTGGTGAACTCGAACCGTGCACCTCTGGGATTGTAGTTACAACTCCTTGCCACTAGGCCACCAGAGCTCCCCCGAATGTTGTTGTTGTTATGTGCCGTCGAGTCGCTTGAGACTCATAGCGTCCCTATGTACAACAGCCCTAAACCCTGCTCTATCCTGTGCCAATCGCACAGTCTCTCATGCACTCATCCTGATTACCCCAGTCAATGAATCAATCCACCTCATAGAGGGCCTTCCCCTCCTGCGCTGTCCCTCCACCCTACCAAGCATGATGTCTCTCTCCAAGGACCTGTCTCTCCTCACAACATGTCCAAAGTATGTCAGACGAAACCCCAGAATCCTTGCCTCCAAGGAGCTGCCCAGTTAACCCTCTCCAGGATGAATTATATGAAATATTCTATTATAAACCATATGCTTAATCAGGAACTGAAGGAATCACAAAATTTTAACTTGGAATTTCTCTTGCGACAGACCACAGGAAATGAGCTGCTTCGAAGCAGCTAGGGCCCCCCTGCAGAGGGAGAGTTAATAGTGTGAAATACTTCCTTCCTGACCTAAGCATCAGGTAGACAATAGAGGAAAAACTTGGCTTCATTTACAAGATAATTCTCTTTATGATTTGCTTCCCCTGATTTTTAACAAGCACAGAGAGGCATGGCTTGTGGCACTGCAGTCCTCTTTTTTGTTGTTGTTTTGTTTTAAATTTATTTATTAATTTTAATGAAAACTAACAGAGACTTAGGGTTTCTAGTCATTCACTGTTGCACTTTGCTCCCTGCCCTCCCTCCCAATCACTCTTCTTCTTGAAAAGAAAAACTATTTCATTGTTGTGCAATCCCTCCCCCCAGATTCATTCCTGGCCCTCTGTTTTTATGCTTTCTGTTTTAATCTGATTTCTGATGTTCTGTCTCATTTTTTTTACTTTCCTCTCGGTCTGCAACAGATATGAGACTTTGATAGAACACTACTCGAAGACATTGACACCAGACAAGAGAGAGTGAAAGAGGGAGCTCTGGTGGCCTAGTGGCAAGACGCTGCACTGCAATCCCAGAGGTATGCGGTTCAAATCCACCAGATGCTCTGCTGGAGAAGGAGGGGCAATCTCCTCCTGTACCAGTCAGATCTGATTTGACGGTACACATAAAAATAATACAATAAAAATTTAAAAAAAGAGAGAGTGAAAGAGACAGAGGTTGATTAGACGTCATACCAGACTACGAATGGAACAGGACTGACTGACCCTATCCTTATTAATACAAATATATATGGGGAGCTCTGATGGCCAACTTGTAAGAATCTGTGCAGCAATCCCGAAGGCATGCAGTTTGAATCCACCAGTCGCTCTGCTTGAGAAGGATCGGCAATCCCCTCTCATGTGATTGGCTACCTCTGAAAACCTGCAGGAGGGTCAGCTATAGGTCGGTTCTGACTCGACAGTACACAGCACAACAACATGTGTTCTCCGGCAGGGGCTGAGAGTGCACAGCTGTGTGGTGGTTTACAGCCTCAGCTGGACTGATGCTTGGCATTTGTTCTTCCACTGTCCCCTGTCTGAGAGGAGTCTGGTCGCCTTGTGTTGTTTTGCCCCCATGTCACACCACCATCCAGAACAGTTTCTCATTTGCTTACTTTGTTAGGGTTTCCTTTGCCATGCGCTATCAGTAACTCAAAGCCCGTGTCCACCCAGCACCTAGCAAATGGTCTGCCACGGGTGCTCTGTCTTCCTCACTGGGAGCTCACAGAGCGGTGACGCTTGTCTCATTTCATCTTCTAGCCCAGGAACTGGGAGACAACAGCTGCTCAGTGCGTTTTGTGGATCATAGGAATGCAGGCGGGTCACCTGATTCCTGGCCCTGGGTCCCTCTAGGCCACCGAGCACAGGCCTCTCTGTCATGCAAAGCCGTGACTTCTTCACCTGTTCCACATCTTTTTTTTTTCTGTTCCACATCTTAACGTCTGGCTCGGCTAGATATGTCTGTATGAGAGGACCCACCACGGCCCAAACGAAAAGACCAGGTGAGCTGAGGAAGCACTGGGGCTGTGCAAGTGAGGCCGGGCCGTGAGAGCAAGGCCGGGGCGGTAAGAGCAAAGGAGGCCGGGGCTGCGTGAGGGAGGCTGGGGCCGTGTGAGTGAGGGAGGCCGGGGCTGTATGAGCAAAGGAGGCCAGGGCCGTGCAAGCGAGGCCGGGGCTGTGTGAGAGAGGGAGGCTAAGCCTCTGCAAGCCAAGGAGGCCAGGGCCGTACGAGCAAGGCCAGGGCTGTGCGAGTGAGGCCGGGGCTGTGCGGGTGAGTGAGGTTGGAGCTGAGTGAGTAAGTCCTGGCTGTTTGAATTAGGAACATTTAGGAGAGGTCTTTGTGGACATACAGTGGGTGGTAAGCTGACCCCTACAGAGACAGAGCCCCTGCATTAGAGACATCACGGAGTGAAGGGTGTGTCCTTCAGAGAAAGGTTGATGTGTCATCCCCACCCCCCCAAGTCCCTATGGTGAGCACAGCCTTATCTGGAAACACGGTCTTTGCGGATGTAATTCAGTTATTGTTGCTGGTAGGTGGGTGGAGCTGGCTTCCACTCACAGTGACCTGAGGGAACCGAGCATGACACTGCCCAGTCATACACCGTCCTCACAATCGTTATCAGCTTTGAGTCACGGTCACAGCTGCTGTGTTTCAGTGAGGCTGTCCACTAAATTAAGGTGAGTGAGGTTTATCAGGGCCCAACTCCAGTCAGAGTGCTGTCCTTACCAAGAGGCACCAAGAAGTAAAGAAGAAGACGCCCACAGGCAGATGGACGTGGACTGGAGTGGAGCTGACACTGGCCAGGGAGGACTGGGCCGCCAGCAGCTGGTGGAGACACAAACGCTGCTGCCCACCCAGAGCCTTCTGAGGGAACACAGCCCAAACACCCGGATTCACAACTGGCCTCCAGACTGAGAGAAAACACATTTCTGTGCTTTGAAGTGTGTGGTACTCCATGTAGCCCCTAGGACATGATTACAGAGGGGTCAGAGGGGGTCCAGAGAGGTGGGGGCAGGCTGCCCAGTCACTGCTCCTTTTCGGACCATCAGCGGGGAGCAGACCTGACTCTTCAAGGCTCCACTTGCCCCCAAGCCTCCAACTGTCCTGGTGAGCAGGGCAGCAACAAGAAGTTATTATTGTTAGGTGTCCTCTCGTCGAGTATGACTCATAGTGACCCTGTGAACAAAATATCTGCATGCTGTCCTTTCCTGCACCATCCTCACCTTTCCTGACACAGAAGAGTCCACTGTGGCAGTCACTGCATCAATCCACCTGGTCAGGGGTTTTCCTCTCCTTCACCAGCCCTCCACCCTTCCCAGCATCATGTTCCTCTCCAAGGAATAACACCTCCTAGCAACATGCCCAAAATAAGTGAGGCAAAGCCTCATCATTCTTGCCTCCAAAGAACACTCTGGCTGCACCCTCTTCAAGACATGTTTGTTTTGTTCTTTTGTCTGTGGGACATTCAATACTCTTCTCCAATTCCACAGCTCAAAGGCACAGATTCTTCTTCTGTCATCCTTATTTCCTGTCCAGCTCTCAGATGCATATGGTCAGAAAGACTATGGCCTGAATCAAATGCACCTTAGTCCTCAAACTGACATCATTACCCCTCAATAATTTGAACAGGCCCCTAACGGCAGATTTCCCCAGTGTAATGCGTCTTCTTATTTCCTGACTGCTGGTACTAAGGGTGTTAATTGTGGATCCATGCAAGATGAAGCTGTTGACAGCTTCGATCTCCTCTCCGTCCATCATGATGCTGCCTATCGTTCCAAAGCCATGTTTTCTTTCTCCTGGTTCTGGTGGGAGCCTCAGCAGAAACAGCTGCCACCACCAGGGGGAGCAGGGAAGCAGAAACCAGACCACAGTCACCACCAAGCTGAAATTGACTCACCAACAACCTGTGTTATACAGATGACACAACCCTCCTTGCTGAAACTGAGGAGGACCTGAAGTGCTTGCTGCACAAGGTCAAGGACTGCAGCCTTCAAAATGGATTGAAGCACAACATCCAGAAAACAAAGATTCTCACCACTGGGCAGACTGGCAGCATCAGGATGGATAATGAAGAGATTGAAAATGTTGACAGTTTCAGTTTGCTTGGCTCTATAATCAATACTCTTGGTACCAGCAGCCAAGAAATTAAAAGGCAAATTGCATTGGGGAAAGTCTGCTGTCAGGGACCTCTCCAAAGTGCTGAAGAGCAACAATGTCAGTCTGGAAACTAAGGGGCACCTGATACAGGCCATGGTCTTTGCAATTATTTGCTATGCATCAGAGAGCTGGACAATGACTAGGGATGATAAGAGAGTTGATGCCTTTGAGTCATGATGTTGGAGAAGAGTACTGGATATACCATGGACTGCTAGGAGAACAAACAAGTTCATCCTGGAGAGGGTGAAGCCAGGCTGCTCCTTGGAGGCACGGATTCTGAAGCTCCATCTGACATACTTTGGACATGTTGTTGCAAGGAGGGACCAGTCCTTGGAGAAGGGCTTCATGCTTGGGAGGGTGGAGGGACAGCACAAGAGAGGAAGACCCTCAATGAAGTGGATTGATTCAGTAACTGGGGTAATGGAGATAGGTATGTCAGAGACAATAAGATTGGCAAGGGATAGAGCAGGGTTTAGGGCTGTTGTACAGAGGGTCACTATGAGTCACAGGCAACTTGATGACACATAATAACAAAAACCACCCTCCACTGGATTTCCAAGCTGTAAATCTTTATGGGAGGGGATTGCCCCCTTTTCCCCCCTTACAGCAGGAGATGGATTCGAACCTCTGATCTTTGGGTTAGGAGTCCAACATGTCATGCCCTATGCCACCAGAGCTCGTTGAGGGTACTGTAGCTACAGAAAGAATTTTAAATTCATCTGCACAGAAGATTGGTCTTTTTTTCAGACTTGACAAGTAACTCTCAACTCCACCAGGGCTTCCTGGAGGAGCAGGAAGGCCCTGGACACGCATCTCCATAGATCCACCACTCTAAGGACCTCTAGTGCTGCAGAGCTTAAGTGCTAACTCAAAGGTTGGTGGCTCAAACCCAGCAGCCACTGGCGGGGAGGAAGGTGGGACAGTCTGCTTCCGTATAGATTTGAAGTCCCCGAAGCCCCATGGAGTAGTTGGTTCTAACCTGCCTTACAGGGACGTTACGGGTAAGAATCAACACAGCACAGGGCTTTTTTAAGATTCCCTCTGAAGAGGAGAAAAGTCTGCCAAGGTACCTCAAGGAGATCCTGGAACAGGAACCCTGACTGAGTTGAAGCCTCAGCACCAATACATTACTGTAACTCACTCTGCTTATCTGTGGAGTAGAAGGACGACGTCACCTCACAGGACGGCCTTGGGAGACTCACAGACATGAGGGATTAATTACACTCGTGAGGCACACTGAGGCCAGAGTCCCTCCCACATCCCCGGAGCCAAACAATGATGTCATGTGCTCCTGAGGCAGATGTCACAGCCCCATGCGGGAAGGGGCTGCACTGGGAGAGGATCAGGAACTCGTCCAAGCCAAGTTGCTTTCTTCCCCTCCCAGGGGGTCGTTATTTACTGCTTCTGGAAGATTCCTTCCTCTGACACAATAGCATTACTGTTCAACTTTGATATTTATAATTCCGTCTCAGCCCTGCAATTATGCCGATTGTCCCAAGAAGTTCTTTCTGACATTGTTTTTGTCTCCCAATACCCCTTCATCCTTCTCCAGAGAAACTGAAGTGGCAAGTGTTGTGAAGGTCCCGATCCTGATGTCGGTGGTCTTTTCTGGAAGTTCCTGACAGAAGGAGTCCCTGAGTGGTACAGACAGCTAATGTGCTTGGCTACTCATTGAAAGATTGGAGGTTCAAGTCCATGCAAAGGTGCCTCAAACCAAAGACGCTGAACTGAGCACAGTTGTACGGACACACACGAGGTTATCAGAGGTCAGGATCAAGTTGATAGCAACTGGTTGACAGAAAGACTGCCTCTGGACAGTGCAGCCATTAGCCCCGCAGGGGCTGGGGTCAATAAGAAAAGGCCTTCAGCTGCTCTGCTGCCCCTGCTGGACAGCTGTGTTGGGACCACGCAGGTCAAGGGTGATTACACAGAGAAGGGCACCCTCCCCAACGCGCCCTTTGGAAGAGGCACTAGGTCAGGGAGTCTGTGTAGGAAGATGCTGAGCTTTTTGATAGGCATGTGGTTAAAACTCCAATAGAAAATAATACCCACGGTGAGCTCTGGTGGCCTAGTGGCAAGAAGTTGTACTGCAATCCCAGAAGTGAGCAGTTCAAATCCACCAGGTGCTTTGCTGGAGAAGAGGAACAATCTCCTCCTGTACCAGTCAGATGTGATTTGATGGTACACACACACACACACACACACTCTCTCTCTCTCTCTCTCTCTCTCAAATAATAATTTTTTTTTAAAAAGAAGATATACCCACATGTTTTATGTTCTTCGTTTTCCTTAATTCTCTCTACATCTGAGTTTTATTTTGATTTCTTAGTTTAATTTGCATCTTCTATATGTGTAGCACCTGCTATACCAACTCCTCAATTACAAACTTAGAATAGTTGGTAAAGTAATTCATCTTCCTTCCCACAAGGGCTTAGGGGTTCACACCTCAGGGACGTCAGAGACTGGACACTCACCAGGGTGGACTCGAACTCCAGGGAGATGGCGCCCAGGGCATTCTCCAGCATCTCCTTCTTGGTGATGTCCAAGATCAACAGCTCCGTGGGCTCGCTCAACTTTCGAATGTCCCACCACATCACCTGGAGGGAAGAGGTGACCCTGGGACACTGAGGTCCTGCTTCTTCACATGTGCTGAGAAAGCACCTTCTCTGTCCCTCCACGTCCCCCCTAGGAGGGAGACTCCCAGCCACCCTCGGGAACAGGCATGCTGGACAGTCCCGGCAAGTCCACTGCTACCAAGCCTGGCAGGTCATTAAGTCCACGGAGGAGTGTTACAAAATTCAGCTGACTGACCAAACAAAAACCATCAAGTGTGAACCTAGGCATCTATATTTTTTATTATTATTGTGTGTGTGTGTGTGTGTGTGTGTGTGTGTGTGTGTGTACCATCAAATCGGATCTGACTGGTACAAGAGGAGATTGCCCCTCCTTCTCCAGCAGAATCTGGTGGATTCGAACCACTCACCTCTGCAATTGCAGTGCAGGTTCTTGCCACTAGGCCACCAGAGCTCCCCTGTGCATCTATATTTTTAGAAACCAGACTCACAACCTCCTGGGAGTGGTCTACCTTCTATGTGGTTTCAGAAGCTAGAAATCTGAATGGCAACACACTCTCTCTCATGGAGCAGCTGAGGGGGGGAAAGGAGGGAGGATAGGAGAGTTGAACTGCCGACCATTTGGTTAGCAGCCCAATATCTAACCCACTAGATTACCAGGGCTCTTGCGTTTTTAAAGGCTCCCCAGGTTATGGTGATACGTAACTTACTATCCTCAGTCCCAAACCCATTGGGACTCTATAGGGTGGAATGCCACAGCCCCGTGGGGTTCCCAGGACTAATCCTCACAGGAGCAGATTGTCACAGCTTTCTCCCTCTCAGAGGCTGGTGGGTTCAAACCACCGACCTTTCACTCAGCAGCCACGTGCTTTAATCACCACATTACCAGGGCTCCTTTGGAGTGCACGGCGACATTGAGAATGTTGGTGTTGGGGAGCTCTGGTGGCCTAGTGGCAAGAAGCTGCACTGCAATCCCAGAGGAGCTTGGTTCGAATCCACCAGATGCTCTGCTGGAGAAGGAGGGGCAATCTCCTCCTGTACCAGTCAGATCTGATTTGACGGTACACGCACACAAAATAATAAAATAAAAAAATTTAAAAAAAGAATGTTGGTGTTAAGGGCTACGGAGTGGATCTTTTGACTCAGGACAGATCTCAGTGACAGAACTGCCCCACAGGATTTTCTAAGTTGTAAATTTTATGGAAGGTGCCCCAGGGGCAGAGTGCACTACATGAGGGGCTGCTAACTAAAAGGTCAATAGTTCGAATCCACCACTCCTTCCCAGGGAGAAAGATGGGCAACCTCCTTCCATAAAGACTTATGGCCTCAGAAACCAAATCACCCAGGAAAGATTCCAAAGGGCAGCACTTGCCCAGGGACAAGGCAGGAAGGAACTGAAGGATGAATGGAAACAAGAATCACAGGGAGGGAGCAGGAATGTGATGATCATGGCCAACATCCTGAAACGAATTGTGTAGGAATGGTTGAAGGGAAACCCTATTCTCTGTACACTTCCACTCACAACACAAGACAATTTTTTTAAAAAAAAGAGAATGCTCTTAATCAAGAGACAAAGATATAAAATCCATTTTCTGCCCCAAATAATCCTCACTCATTTACTCATCCTTTCAGCACCCGAATGTGGTGGAAACAATCTGAGTGACTACAATATTATTATTTGATAAAAACTCTCGTGCTACAAGCAGCACAAGTGTCAGTTTCAATTACTTTTTTTACGACCATCTAGACCAGTGTTCAGATCTCACAATTTTTTAAAAAAGAAAAACAAATTGTTGCATAAACTCTGACCCTGAAACGCCACTGCCAAAAGTCTATGCCACTGGGACCTGCCTGGGTGTGTAACCATCTACACCCAAAGTCACTGTTAGCTATATTCTGTTGTTACTGTCAGGTGCCGTGGAGTCAAATATGATGTCAGTGCCCCCAGGAACAACATATCTGAACCTTGTGTCAATCCATCTTGTTGACGGGCTTCTTCTCTCTCTCTCTGACCCTCCACCTGCTTTAACTATGACACCCCCACGCAGTGCAGCCCTTGGCAGGCATGGGATAGATCTGTACGAGATACAAAACTAACGCCCAAATAATTAAAAAAAAAACTTCAGGAAGCTCTGGTGGTCTAGTGGCAAGAAGCTGCACTGCAATCCCAGAGGCACACGGTTCAAATCCACCAGATGCTCTGCTGGAGAAGGAGGGGCAACCTCCTCCTGTAACAGTCAGTTAGATCCGATTTGATGGTACACACACAAAAAATAAAAATACAATTAAATTTAAAAAAAATCAAGTGCAGGGAGTGTAAGGTGCTCAGGAAGGAAGGTTTGCACCTGCCTGTTCACAGATATTCTGGAAGCTCAGGGAAGGAATGACATCAGGGCTGGGGTCCAGGAAGGGGGATGAGGAGGCTTGGGGACAGAGGTGAAAAGCAGACATGTCACTGTCACTCTTCTGAATCTTTTGGGTTTTCTTCCACGTATACATATTACATACTACTCCATTTATGATATAAAATGTAAAAGGAAGCGTGCTTGTGATGGTGTCGCCAGACGGCGGCCCAGGCACCCCTACCACCCTTTGCCCCCGTGGCACCTGGCCAGGTACCTGCCCATCTGTGGAGGCCGAGAAACATTCGGTACCCGTCTTGGACTGCAGCCAGATGGTGCCGTACACAGGGTCCCGGTGGCTGAACTCGATGGTGGACAGCTCGGCCACTAGGCTGCCCTTCCGGGTGTCCCAGCAGGCTGGCAGGGAAGGAGATAGTGGGCAGTGAGAGGGTGAGTACAGGTGCAAGAACAGGAGGACACTGGGGGCAGAGCTTCCTCAGGTGGGCAGAGATGTGGTTTCTCAGAATCCTGGCTTGATCAAGGGTCAATTCCCAAGTTCGAGCTCCGTTCCTTCAGATGAGGCCCCATCGCGATCTGCACCTCCCTCCCTGTAGGCTTGTGGGAAGCTCAGTGAATAGAGCAGGCAGGCGCCAGGGAGGTGAGAGGGGGTCCTTCAGGTACAGACCATGCTGTGATTGCTACTGTGGGGGACACCTGGGAAGGTGGTCAGGGAAGACTTCCTGGAGGAAGTGACAGTGATGGAAGATTGAGGAGAAGTCTCAGCATGGAGCCAGGAGGGGAGGGGAGGGGAGAGAAGGGGAGGGGAGGGGAGAGAAGGGGAGGGGAGGAGAGGGGCATCTCCACCATAGAAAAGCGTATGCAAATGCTTCTGGTGGGAGGACCACATTGGCAAGTCCCTCCAGCTGCACAGTTCAGTTCTCAGCTGCTAGGTGAAAGTCTGACGGTTCAAACTCATCCAGAGGTGCCTCAGAAGAAAGGCCTGGTGATCTACTCTGTCAGTCACTGAAAACCTAATGGAGGTGTCAGGTTCTGCTCTGACACGGGCGAGTTTGCCATGTGTTGGGGTCGACTCTACAGCAAAGTGTTCCATTCTGGTTTCTCCTGTTGGGAAAAAACTCATTCCTTCCGTTCCTCCACTGCCTGGCTGGGAAAGGGACTCAATCCTGATCCACCAGGACGCTTTGTCTTCTCTGCTTCAGCAAGAAGTGAAGCTTAGCTATTGTTACGTCCCTTTAGTCTCATCCTTTGTTCTCTGCTGCGACTCAGAGCCTTTTCCAGGAAGGCTGGTTTTAGAAAACAACAGCCAAAACATTCCGTTCACACATGTACATAATATTCCCCCAAGCGCACTGCATCTGCCCCAGACGAGCCTGGCCTGGAGCAGCGCTTTCTCAGCCCAGGCTGCTCTGCTTGGTACAAAGCAGGGTGTGCTGGACCCCACGTCCCCGCCACTCCTCCCTGGCCCTCGCAGGCGGCAGGAGCCCACAGCAGACCTGGTCTGGGGCAGCAAGAAAAGCTTTGGAGGTGTGTAAATAGTGAGCGAGATGAGGCTCCCAGATCAATCATAGCTTCCAGGCCCCATGTCAGCCTCCCAGAGCCCTGTCACCCAGATGACGCGAGAGCTCCTGTCGAGTCCATAATGCAGGGGCTCCCCTGGAGAGAGGGGCTCTGGAGGGACATCAGAGGCCTGAGGAAGCCAGAGGCAGTCTGGTCACAGGTTTCCAAAGATAACGGTGCCCCCAAAATACACATTGTAAATCTTAATCCCTATACTACCAAGGAGTGCACCCAGATTGTCCCCTAGAAGCAACAGTGGGGAGACCTTGTCTATTTGGGCGGTCTGTCGGAAGGGGCCAAGGCCCTGGGAAAAGACATCATACTCAGAAAAATAGGGGGTCAGCGAAGAGAGGGAGGCCCTCGATGTGACAGACAGATGGATGAATGAAGTGGCTGCGACAGGGGCTCCAGCAAAGCAGCGACATGAGAACAGAGGAGAATCAGACAGGATTCCTTCTACACACAAAGCTCTTTCCTCCCTCTGGGCCTGAGTTAAAATCGCACTGGAGGACGGGCTTTCCTGGTTCTATTAACAGGGCAGTATTAGCACATTTCTTTCTTATATTAATGGGGGGAGGGGAACAGATGGCCAAGTGGTAAGAAGCTGCACTGCAATCCCAAAGACACACGGTTCAAATCCACCAGGTGCTCCACAGGAGAAAGACAGGCAAGCTTCTCCTGTGCAATTTACTGCCTCTCAAAACCCTCTGGAGAGTCAGCTATGAGTCAGTTCCAACCCAAAGGCACACAACAACAACAACAGTTAGTGTAGGGTGTGATCGAAATCATTCTTCTTTGAGATCTGCAGGAACAGATGACGCAAGCAGGGATGGGGAGGTGGGACGTCACTTGAAGACCACCAGGGAGTGGAGGAAGTGGAGTTGGACAGAGACAAAGACCGTCCCCTGGACAACAAGGAGGGGGGACGTCTCCCTGGAGAGCTGGAATCCTGCATGCGGGCTTCTAGCTTCCTCAAGTAGGAGAGAGTAAACTTCCTGCCTGCCACAGCCAACCACTTAGTGGGATTTCTGTTACAGCAGCTCCGGAGATTCTGGTGGCGTCTCTCACAGGGAGCTGTGCTGTTAACTCAAAGGCAGCACCTCTCTGGTAGTTTGAATCCACCAGCTGCTCTGTGAGAAAAAAGATGTGCAATCTCCTCGGCACAATTTACAGCCTCAGAAACTCCTTGGAGGGTCAGCAAGGAGTTGGCTCCGAGTCTTGGGCAAGGTGTTTGCGTTTGAAAGCATGTGGACATGTGTAAATCCTGCGGCCATTCCCAAAGGAAGCAGGGCAAGAAGTGGGCATGTGACTGCAGGGTAACGAGGCGACCTCCTTAAGCTCAAGGCCAAGTCTGGCCCCGGGTGCAGGTCAGGATGGGGTGGGGGTGGGGGTCTGTTACTCCCACTCCTCCCGTGCCATTTACGGCCTCTGAAAACCAGCTGGAGGGTCAGCGATGAGTTGGTCCCAAGTTCAAGGCTCACAACAACAACACTTAGTGCAGGGTGTGAGTTAAAGCTTTCTTCTCCGAGACCGACAAGAACAGACCAAGGAGCCAGGGATGGGGTGAGGGTACCTCACTAAATGATGGGGGTCAGCTAACGGAGGAGGCAGGCGAGGACTTTGAGAGCCCACGTGAGCAGGTCTGTGCTCTTGTTAATTGCCGTCAAGCTGCGTTTTGGCTCATAGAGACGCCCCAAACAACGGGGAAACCCTGGCCCATCCTGCACAGTCTTCCTATTCTCTCAAAACCCTCTGCAGAGTCAGCTATGAGTCAGTTCCAACCCAAAGGCACACAATGGCAACAACAACAGTTAGTGTAGGGTGTGATTGAAATAATTCAGAAGCTAGTGTCTCCGTGCAGTCTACACTCACAGGACTGGGGACAAGCCCTGACACGCTACACCTCTGTACCTCTGTGTGTGCCGGCCCTTCCACGTGGCCTGCTCCTCCTTCAGGCATCACTGCCTCCTCCAGGAAGCCCTCCCAGGCTGCTTCTAACCACCCTGTCCCCAAAGACAGAACCATCTTATTCCCCCTCCCACATCTCTCTCTTCCCTTCATGCTTGGCCTCTAGCCCCTGGCACCACACCCTGCTCAAGGAAAGTGCTCAGCAAATGCCTGTTGACTTTATTTGAATGTTTGGGGTTTGTTGTTGTTTTTTTTTTAACTTTGCACTTGGGCTGAGTTTAAACTTGAGCCACTCTAGCTGGTGGCACTGCTGAGAGGCCAGCGTGGCTTGACTGTCTTGGGTGTGTGCTCACCTTTCCATCTCTCCATCTGCCCCTCTGTGCCCAGGTGGGCATGTGGGCCAGGCCCGGGCAGCTGCAGGGGCTGTGCTGCCTCAGGCCAGGAGCACACTGGGGGGTTGTCTGGCTAACTCCCTGTCCCGCCTTACCGATCTGCCCGTTGTAGCAGCCCCCCAGGAGGATGTGGGAGTCCTTGGGGTTGTATTCCACAGTGACGAGGGGGGAAGACGGCTTCAGGGACATTTCAGGCTTGTTGGGATGTTCTGCAAAAGAAAAATGAAATTTCTCCAGACCGAGAAAGAAAAGGCAGGACGGACCAGTTTCACCCCGGAAAAACCAGGCAGGGCCTGTCCCCTTTCTCCAGGCTGCAGCCTCCGGACCCTGGCGGCATCATTTGTGGGTCTGGGGATCTTCTAGGGGTTTATTTGACAGGGTGGGAGGGTGTGTTGTTGACGGCATTTCTAGTCCAGTTCCCAGGTTTGGTATGAAATAACTTCCAACCCCAGTGATTTTCCAAGGGTGCTCTGGTGCTGTCGTCCACAGGCAGTTGTGTTGGGAACCTTAAGGTCATGGCCCTTTAGGGGTTTGAATCCACCAGCTGCTCTGAGGAAGAAAGAGGGGCCAGCTCCTCCTGTGAGATTTACAGCCTCAGAAACCCACTGGAGGGCCAGCTATGAGTTCGTTCTAACTTGATGCCAATGAGCTCGAAACCCGGGTGGCGCAGCACATGGGGAGTAGTGCTACTAAGCCAGATGTCACCCTTCCCCAGTGGTTCAAATCCACCAGCAGCCCTGAGCGTAGAAAGCCAGGTGATCTCCTCCTGTGCAGTGGTCAGCCTCGGAAAACTAACAGCGGTTGGCTGTGAGTTGATTCTGACTGAATGGCAATCAACTCGAGTTTGAGTAATGGCTTTATATAAAGGCAGCTCTCCACTGTGCGGTCCAAGCTAGTTTCTTCATCTGTATTGAGCAAATGAAGGAGCCCACCCCGTGGGAGTGAATGACGGGGTCCACCCCGTGGGGGGTGAATGATGAGGTCCACCCCACGAGGGATGAATGACGGGGTTCACCCCGTGATGGGCTAAGAGTGATGGCGCCCACCCTGTGCGTGGTTAATGAAGGAGCCCATGCTGAAAGCTGGTTGTAGAGACCCAGTGACCTTCTCTATGTGAGGCACTTAACAAGAGAGCCTCCAGAAACGCTATGAACGTGGAGAAACGAGGAAAGTTCCACAAGTGTTCAGGTCTTTCTCTCAAAGGGTCACTATGAGTCATCTATGACTCAACGGCACTTAACAACAACAACAACAACATAGAGTTCTATGGGCCTGGTGGCTAGAAAGTGATGCTACCAAGCCAAAAGTGGGTGATTTTAATCTGTGGCACTCAGGCCTGGTTTTAACTGTTTTTGGTCAAACATTCTTCTAAGTGGTATAAAACCCTGGTTTGTCCGCTTTCTATATACACAGGTAACTCATGGTTGCTGTGATGCTAAACACTGTGACACTGATGTGTCAAATGCGATAATGGTTCCCCATGGTGGACAGTGTTTGGTGGAGCTCCCCGATTAAAAAAAGATTGGAAGCAGGAGTGGCATTTACTTCCATAATAGCTTGCCTCTGGAAATCCTATGAACTTGGAGAAAGGATGAAAAGTTATACAAGTGTTCAGGTCTTTCGTTCATAGGGTCACTATGAGTCTCCTACGACTCGACGGCACTTAACAACAACAATAACCCACAAATAAAGGTAACAATGAAAGGAAGGCTGGGTGGGAATCGCACCACCGCCTGTTCTCTGCCCAGGAGCAGACCCTCGGAGCAAGCCCGTTTGTAAACAGCGGTCTCTGCTCCACTGTCCCCGAGCTCCCACCACCCTGCACACCCACCCTCCCTGGTGACCACCACTGATGGGCAAGTGTCAGTGTAGGGAGGACACAGGCGGATGCCCGTTGGCCTTCCCTCAGGCCCCTCTGACACCTGCTGAGGACCTCCTGAGATCTTCTCCAGGGGCCAAGATGCCATGGGCCTGGTCTCCAATGCCTTGAGTAAGGATCTGAACATGAAGACAGCTTCCTAATTCCCATTAGATCAGGTGACATAGTTCTCAGCCTGTTAACTAAAAGGTCAGTGGTTCAAATCCACCAGCTGCTTTGAGGGAGAAAGATCAGCGGCTTCTTACCATTGAGAACCTGATGAAGGGTCGCTATGATTGCAATCGCCTCAGTGGCACTGGGTTATCTTGTTTGATTTTTTTGGTCTAACCCTGAACGCAGTCGGGGAGGGAAGGCTGATAGGCAAGTGGCTTCCCCCACCCCACCTGATCCCAGGACTCCCTGGGAGGGCAGCTCTGGGGTCCATGTTACCTGTTTTCACCCACCACCCCCACTCTTGATGGCCCATCCATGCCCTCAGCCCTCTCTGGCTAATGGACCCCCTCTTCCTGCTCACCCATGTCCCAGATGTACGACTCGAAGCCCATGCCCGCAGGTGCCCGCTGAAAATTCAAGCAAGAATATGCCACGGCCAACTTGCGGTTGCCGTCAGGGTGCCAGGAGAGGTGTGTGGTTGTCCGCTTGATTTCCTGGGGGTCCCTTTAGGAGACAGTAAAGAGGACAGACACTTAGTGTGCTTGGTCCTTAACCACAGCCACCGACCTGTAGCTGACCCTCCAGAAGATTCTCAGAAGCTGTAAACTGCATGGGAAGAGACTGCCCATCTTTTTCCCTCGGAGCCCCTGGTACATTCAAACCACAGGCAGACGCTGGCTTTGGGCCAGCCGCACAATGCCCCACAGACCGCACCACCAGTGGTACTTACATGCAATATCCCTCAATTTTTTTATAGAATTTTACACATTCTCTTTTATTACACTGTTCATCAGTCAAGATCTCCTTGGTTCCCCCAAACTTAGACTAAGATTCACCCACAGGATCGCCCTTTTTGAAAAGGCCAGCTGACCCGTCATTGTTCTGTCAGTGTGGAGGTGGATTTCCGGACATCATCGTGTGTTCAGGAGACTGTGCTGTCAGTATAGCACTCTATGCCACATCTCCATGACTGTCACATTTTCTGTTAAGTGGCTGCTTTAATTTCCAGTGAAATATGGACAGCCTGGTGTTTGCTCCACAGTAGCCTCAATTTTATGATTATTTTTTTAAATGGGGGGAGGGGCCACAAATATATATAGCAAAACATTAGCCATGCCACATTTCTTACTTACTATTTCTTTTTAAAAATTCACATCTGTTTCATTCATGTCCTCAAACAAAATATAAATGGTTGAGCAGAATACAGTCTGCTCTGCCAAGTTTGCTTCAAGTTACGACAAAAAAAAAAAAAACCCAAGCTTTTAAAATTTACTTAAGCAATCCCACTTCACTTGGAGAAGCTTACTTTGAAAACAAAGTTCCCCATGATTCCCACAAATAGAAAAACCAATCTCACCTACCTTCAGCAAAATGTAACAATTAAAAATCAAAACAGTGGGACCAAAATATTTAATCCCCAGCTAGGCACTTTTTGCCTGCCCAAAGCTTCCAGCCTGAGGCATAATTTTCCACTGATATTTACAAAAGGTAAAGAAAAGAGAGTGGAAAAGCATTAAGGATAGGAAGCGAGGCTTCCTCCCTGAAGTAACAGGAAGTAAGGAAGGAATTCTGCCATCACGTGATTTCAACTACTTTGCTCCTCCCTGGAGCACCTTTAAGATTGAAGGACCCAATGGGATTCAGGAGACTGAGTCCCAGCCATGGTTGACCCCTCCCCACCCACCACATGCCACTGAGAATTCTCCCATCCTGACGGGCTCTTGGCAGGAAGTGTGAAGAGGGCACAGACTAGAACAGGGTTCAGATCTTTTGTTCGTAGGGTTGCTATAAGCCGTATTTGACTTGACAGCACCTAATACACATGTTTATTTGTTTATTGGTTGTTTATAAAGTTGCTATGACTCATACTTGACTCAACGGCACCTGACAACCACTACCCCCACCCGTGGCCTCACTTTCTTCCCTTGTCCATATGGAGCGTGGATGGGGTGATCAGGTGATCCCTCTAACAGGTCTGGCCACGGCTGGGGGCTGGAGCACAGTCCTGGCGCCTGGCCTCTCTTCCGCACACCCAGTGCCGGCCACCCTCCCTCCACCATATTCTGCTCTGCCGGGTCCTCTGCTCAGGTCAGTGCGGGACGTCACACTGCTGACCTAGATACAGGCCAGTCCGTGTTGGAGCACAGTCCTGTTCGCCCACAGGATTGGTAGGGAGGGTTCCACTCTTTGTCCTAACTTTGGGGGTTTTTAGGTGCCACTGAGTGGGCTATGACTTATAGTAACCTCATGAACCTTGCCCCGTCTGCGCCATCCTCAGCGTCTGTGATACGCTCAAGTCCTTCGTTACAGAAGGTCGAGCGTTCATCTACCTTGCTGTGGGTAATCCTCTCTTTCGCTGACCTTTCCCAGCACAAAGTCTTTCCCAAGGTCTAGTCCCTCCGGACAACATGCCCAAAGACCCTGAGATGAACTTTCACCACTCTGGCCTCTAGAAGCACCCTGGCTGCACTTACGCCAAGACCGCCCCATTCATCACAGAACAAAGCGCCCCTGGACTGGCATCCACCTCGTCGTAGGAGGACTGAGCCCTCGGCTGCAGCTGCTGTGTCCGTCTATCTCCTTGAGGGGCTTCCTGTTTTTTCACCGACTGTCCACTTTACCAAGACACCTCTGGTCGCTTAGTCCGTGGAGAACTGGGTCGCTGGCTGAAAGGCCATGCCTCTCTGGGGGTTCAAACCCACCAGCAGCAGCGTCTCCTGAGAAACACAGGCAATCCTCCCCTGTGCCATTTACAGCTTCCGCAAGATCGTCAACTATGAGTCCATTCCTTACCAGCAACGGCTTCTTTACCAAACACGCCGGCCTTCACCGATTGCTCTCAGCATCTTGCTTCTACGCAGCTCCTGGAAGGCTGGCTTGTTCTGGTCAAAGGACACAAAGTCATTGACATGGCATCAGAGCCAACTCACTGTTGACCCGCTCGTGGGTCTAGGGAGGCTGGAAGCAGCACAGGAGGAGACCGCTGCTCTTTCTCTGAGCAGCTAGTGGATTCAAACCACCAGCCTCGGGGTTGACAGCACAACTCCTTACTGCTAGGCCACCGGAGCTCTCTTGTTCAGCCAGCCCACAGGAAACCCCAATACTCTTCACCAACATGACACGTCTCAGAACGTCATTCCTCTCTCTGGTCTTCCTTAGTCACTGCTCAGCTGTCATATGTACATGTTGCTGTTGTTGGGTGCCCTTGAGTCAAGGATGACTGTGTCTAAAGGCAATTGAAAATGACCTGGCCTGGCTCAGGCTCTCCTTGGTCACCCAAGTGATGTCCTTGCTTTTCAATATTTTAAAGTGATCTTGCATCGCTGATGAGCCTAACGCACCAGGTCGTCTGATTCCCTGACTGCTCCACAGATGCTGACTGCTGATCCAGGTGGAATGAAACCCTTGACAGCGACAGTTTCTTCACTGCTAATCGGTATTTGTTTCTGGGCCCCATTGTGATGGTTTTCTCTTTCTTATAAATCTACATCTATCCACATGCTCACCATTGGACCAATTGGCAGCATCAGGACGGATGGTGGAGAGATTGAGATTGTTCACAGCTTTAGTCCGCTTGGCTCCACAGTCAACACTCTTGGCACCAGGAGCCAGGAAATTAAAAAACATAAAACGATGAGAAAGTATGCTGTTAAGGACCTCTCCAAAGTACTGAAAAGCAATGGTGTCTCTCTGGAGACTAAGGTGCGCCTGATACAGGCCATGGTCTTTGCAATCACTTGTTATGCATCTGAGAGTTGGACAATGACTAGGGATGATAGAAGGAGAATTGATGCCTTTGATCTGTGGTGCTGGAGAAGAGTATTGAGGGTACCATGGACTGCTAGGAGAACAAACAGATTCATCCTTGAGAGGGTTAAACCAGCCTGCTCCTTGGAGGCAAGGATTCTGAGGCTCCGTCTAACATACTTTGAACATGTTGTAAGGAAGGGCCGGTCCTTGGAGAGGGACATCATGCTTGGGAGGGTGGAGGGACAGCATAGGAGAGGAAGGGCCTCTATGAGGTGGATTGATTCAGTGACTGGGGTCATCGAAATGGGTGTGACAGGGGCAGTGCGATTGGTGCAGGACAGAACAGAGGTTAGGGCTGTTGTACAGAGGGTCACTATGAGTTGCAAGCGACTCGACGGCACACAACAACAATAAACAACATCTTCATGATGGTGTGTAAATTCCCAGGGTCCGTCAGCCCCTTCCATCAGCCTGACCTGCCCCCAGGGTCAAGACTTCTCCACGGGACACCAACACTCGATCCCTTCTGAAGCTCTGAGTACAGAGGGGGCTGTGCCCACTGCTGATAGCAATTGGCTTCAGGAGCACCTGCCCACACGGCGCCAGTGGTTGATCAGAGAGTGGTCAGATGACCGTGGTACCTGAAGACGTTGATGGTTTTAGCGGAAGGGGCCTCGTCCGTCACCTCCACCGGGTCCTCATCATCGAAGTACTCCTGATAGATGTCGATGGCATTGTTCTGCTTGATGCAGTGCTCCATGACCTAAGGGGGACATATGAGGAGTAAAGAGAGGCCCCTCTACACCGACTGCGGCTGGTATGGAAGCGGGATGTGAAGAAATTCCTAACGGAGGTTTCCCATCTTTTACCCCTGCATTCTCAACAAGGGTAATATCGTCCCCAACACCCAATCAGGTCGTAGGAGAGTCGACCCCAGGTTCAGGAAGGTCTCTACTGACGCACCACTGTCAAGTCAATTCCAACTCATAGAGACCCTGCCGGATAGAGTAGAAGGTCCCCAGAGAGTCTCCAGGGCTATGGAAGACTTTTGGGAAGGCAATTGCCCCATCTGAGTCTCTTGAGGAGCAATGAATGGGTTTGAAGCCAAAAGGCCCACAGACTGATATTTTAAGCAGGGATCCTATGTTGCCCCCAAGAGCGGGAATACAGATTCTTGCAGGACCAAATAATACTGTTCCTTTTATGAGTAAAGAAAGCCATATATAATGGCACATAAATAGATAGACAGCATATTTATGCCAGTAAAATATTCTAAACATGCTCCTTCTGGGACACTGGGAGTTTTGTTACTATTGATTCCAGTTCATGACAATATCACGCGTTACAAGGGAGCTCTGGTGGCCTAGTGGCAAGAAGCTGCACTGCAATCCCAGAGGTGCACGGATTGAATCCACCAGATGCTCTGCTGAAGAAGGAGGGACAATCTCCTCCGGTGCCAGTCAGATCTGATTTGATTGTTGTTGTTATGTGCCGTCCAGTTGCTTGCGACTCATAGCGACCCTATGTACAACAGCCCTAAACCCTGCTCTGTCCTGTGCCAATCACACTGTCTCTGACACTCCCATCCCGATTACCCCAGTCACCGAATCAATCCACCTCATAGAGGGCCTTCCTCTAATGCGCTGTCCCTCCACCCTCCCAAGCATGATGTCCTTCTCAAAGGACCGGTCTCTCCTCACAACATGTCCAAAGTATGTCAGACGAAGCCCCAGAATCCTTGCCTCCAAGGAGCCTCCTGGTTTAACCCTCTCCAGGATAAATCTGTTTTCTTAGCCATCTGTGGTACCCTCAATACTCTTCTCCAGCACCCCAGCTCAAAGGCATCAATTCTTCTATCCTCCCTAGTCATTGTCCAACTCTCGGATGCATAACAAGTGATTGCAAAGACTATAGCCTGTATCAGATAAACCTTAGTCTCCAGAGTGACACCATTGCTCTTCAGTACTTTGGAGAGGTCCCTAACAGCAGACTTTCTCATCGTTATATGTCTTTTAATTTCCTGGCTCCTGGTACCAAGAGTGTTGACTGTGGAGCCAAGAGGACTAAAGCTGTGAACAATCTCAATCTCTTCACCATCCATTCTGATTTGATGGTCCATGCACAAAAAAAGAAGAAAATTTTTTTATTATTATTATTTTTGTGTGTCTGTGTACCGTCAAATCAGATCTGACTGGTACAGGAGGAGATTGTCCCTCCTTTCCCGGCAGAGCATCTGGTGGATTCGAACCGTGTGTCTCTGGGATTGCAGTGCAGCTTTTTGCCACTAGGCCACCAGAGCTCCCCTAGAAGAAAATTTTAAAAAATATATCATGTGTTACAGAATAGACCTGCTCCATGGAGTTTTCTTGGATGCCATCTTAATGGGCACAGATTGCCAAGCCTTTTCTTCCTCAGGACCTCTGGGTGGATCCAAACCGCCAACCACTAGCACTTGAGCACAAAAGGAATAGATGATCATACTGGCAGGGAGCTGCTGGCTGGGGTTCTCTGGGAGTCCTCTAGCTAAGGGGTTGCCTCTTTTTCTATCACCTGCTTTGCTTTGGGGTTGATGCCAATTCAACTACCCTGCATGTCAGAGCAAAACTGTGCGGATTTTTTGGAAGCAGTCACCAGGCCTTTCTCCTGAGGCACTTCTCCAAATGCTCCTACAACTGGTTCAGCACTCCCTCGGTCCCGCCTCGGCCATCTGTCCACCGCTCTGTTCCCAGACAGACAGCTCCTGAGATCAGCAGCCACAGCCCCTCCCCTGAGGTCCCACTCAGAGCTGGACGCTTCCAGGGACTTGAATATTCTTCCCACCCCACAGACACATCTGAGAACAGAAGTGCCGGTGGGTGGGGGACCCCAGACACTGAACAGAAAGGAGCTTACCGAGCCCAGCTGCATGATGGCGTTGATATAGTTCTCATCTTTCTCCACTTTCTTCCGGAAGCGGATCGTCTGCTCCAGCTCCAGGGGGTTCACATCCTTGGGCCAGCCCCCCTCAACGTGGTTAACCCCCTTGGTCTCCATTTCAAAGCGCTCTGTGTTGGCCTGAACAGGTGAGGTCACAGGTGAGACCCTCTGCCCAGGGGTGAGCATTTGGTTGTCTCTGTCCCTGGGAGGGCCCAGGACTCCCAAGTAGCCCCTGGGATGGACCCATGAGGTGCTTTTGGCTAAACCCACCACACTTTCACGTTACCCGGGAAACACGCTGCTTCTCAGGCCATCACACAGCCAAACCCACCGCTCTACAGTTGATTCCAACACCCAGTGACTCTATGGGGCACCTGAGGCTGTAAGGGAAGCTGGTAGATTTGAACTGCTGACTTTTGGGTTAGCAGCACTATGCACAGCCTACAGGGACTCTGAAGGGCCACCCTGAGAAGGAAGCAGCTTTGTCCCGAGGCTAGTGACCACACAGGAAATCCAGTTCTAACGTTACTGAATGGAACCGAGGAAGAAAGGCAACTGACCCTCAAGATGCCAGTGGACAAAATCGTGCCTGTCCATTCTCCTCCCTGCTGTTTACATCACAGAAATGAATATATAAAAACAACAGGGCGGGGTGGTGGAGTGACCATTACAGAAATGAATGCATAAAAACAATAGGGCGGGCGAGCTCTGGTGGCCTAGTAGCAAGAAGGTGTACTGCAATCCCAGAGACACACGGTTCGAATCCACCAGATGCTCTGCCGGGAAAGGAGGGACAATCTCCTCCTGTACCAGTCAGATCTGATTTGACGGTACACACAACACACACACACAAAATAATAATAAAATAAAATAAAATAAAATAAGAGGCCATGGTACTAGGGATATTAAAAAAATAAAACAAAAAAACAACAGGGCGGGGTGGTGGAGTGACCATCACAGACATGAACGCATAAAACAACACGGCGGGGTGGTGGAGTGGCTCGGAAGGGGGAACATAGACAGTACCAGAGCACACGGTCAGTGCCACTGAATTCTATCTGCAAAAACTGCTGAACTGGCAAAGGCCTGGCGACACATATTTTTATCACAATTTCCAGCAAACAAGACCTCGGATTAGCCACGCTCCTCCGCTCACTGTCACAGGGATTGCCTGTGGTTTTAACTTTTCCCGTTTTAAGTCCGCTCTCATGACAGGACAGCTCTGCGTGGCAGCCATATGGTTTAGCTGGCCACACCAAGGACACTGGTGTGTGGGTCCCCGTGGTGACAGTCAGCCCAGGGACAGGAAGGTCTGTTCCTCTGAACCCTGCATCAGGGGCACAATTACACCGACCTATTGAATGTCAGTTTTGGCCAAACTGAGTTTTCAGCCAGCTGACACTGGCCATGACTAAACGGTTCTTTGATTCCATCATCTTTTCTCTCAGCTGTTCCTACCCTAATGTGATCCCTGACTCTGACAGAGAGCTCCTTGGGCTTCCAAACACCATGATCTCGGCCCTCAGTTCTCTCAACCTGAAAGCTCCTTCAGGCCAGAATGTTCTAGAAGATACTTTTCTCTTCACCAGTTGCCCCTCCTCCCCAGCACACCTCTCCCAGCTGTGCTAAACGTCTGAAATGGCTCTTGTAAGAGTCTGCGTCCCTTCCTGAGCCCGGCACTGAGCAGGTCAGGGGTGACTCTGCCCCCATCACTTCCCGCATCTGCCCCAGGCCAGCCCACCGGCCTCACTCCGGTCCTTCCGACTGCCCGGGGCAGGCACACACCTCGTGTTCTGACATGCTGGTGGAGCACTGGACGCCCTTGTCCACGGGGTTCCGCTCCACGAACTGCTCGGCCAGCTCCGGGTTGGGCGGGATGTCGATGTTCAGCTCGGCCTGGTGGTCGGAGAAGTTGCACTGCTTCCCGAATTCGCTGCGTTTCTTGACATACACGTACACGATCTCCATGGTGTCGGCTGTGGGGGCAGAGAATGGAGGTGGAGTGCCCCCGAGGGTCTCCCAGGCGGCAACCCTTTATAGAGCCCACACTGCTGCTTCTTTCTTCTGCAGGGTGGATTCTAACCACCAACCACGCCTTAACCACCACAGAGCTCCTAACCTGAGGTGCCCATTAAAAATACAGCTTCCCCCGGGGCCCAGTTCTGTAAATGCTGACCCCTATGTCTGGGGTGGGGCCCAGCAATCTGGATTTTCCACAACCACTTTGAGCAACTATCATGATCTACCCCACCTCTCTCCACCCTCAGGGCTGCAAAGTACCAGCCCAGAGAACCCCAAGTGCCAGGCCCTCGATTACAGCCACCAGCTAGCTATGCAAGAACGTGCCAGGGGCAAGCCTGGGCCCTGGGGCAGCCGGGGATCCGTTCCCAGGTTGGTCTCCTTTTCCCGGGGGTTTGAAATTCTCAGCCTTGGGTCCAAGGGATGGCTTGGAGGACAGAGAACGGGGGACAGGGAGCTCTGGGGGCCTAGTCTGTGCAGAGTTGTGGTGCTAAATCAGAGGCTGTACCTCTCCGCCGGTTCAAATCCACCAGCGGCTCCATCAGAGGAAGAAGAACAGTCTCCTCTCACGCAGACTATAGTCTCAGAAGCCCTCTGCAGGGTCAGCCACGGGCTTGGACTCCACAGCGAGGAGTTTGGATTTTGGGGCTGTGTGTGTGTGTTTGCTTTTTTCCCCCTACTAGTTTATTTACAAAATTTGAATACAAATGCAAACAAATTCTTTCAATTTCTCTCACCCCCACCCCATCAAATTGTACAACCCAATGATTAATCCCCTCCTCCCCCTGCACATCCACATCCCTCTGCTTCCAGCCTCTCCCACCCCTCCTGGATCCTTGTACTCATTCTACACTAACGGTTTTATACAATATTTTATACAATATGTATCCTTGCGGGACTGAGTTAGGGTTGGTTTTTTTAAAAAAATATTTTAATTTATTTAGTTTTAATTTCAATGAACATCTACTGAGATTTGGGAATTCCATTCATTCATTGATGCACCCTTCTCCCCCCCCCCCCCGTTTGCTCCTCTCCCTGAAAAGCAGAGGAAAAACTCCCTCATTGGTACACAATTCCCCCCCGCACCTCCCCCAATCCCACCCCCAACCCCAAATATAATCCACTCTGCAACCCTCATTGTGTACTCCTACGATAAATATAATGCCCTAAAATATAATACTTTTAAACTATTCTCTCCCCCATAGACTTCAATGCTGTAAACATATTTCATCCAGTTTTTCTCAGCCTTACCCCCACCCCGATGCCAGCCTCATTCTACAACAGTAGCACCAGGATTGTTGTTTTTTTAATTCAGACAAGTCGTTCCTGGAAGGCAGCACTCCACCCCACCCCAGGCCCAGATGCTCAAGGAAAAGAATTCTGCTCCCTTTCTTGGACTTGAAACTCTCAGTCCTGGGTTGGAGCAATGGCTTGGGGACCGAGAAAAAAGAAAGTGCGATTCGCAGCAGCCACCCTGATACGCTGGTCTCACACTCACAAAGGGAGGCCTCATGAGGAGGCAAATTCAGTGACTTTGGGCCCTGAAGCCACAGTGCAGTCCCTACTGCCCATCCTTTCAAATGGCAAGTGCTGTGAGCCAGGGCTTCCTAGGGGACGCAGCGAGGCCTGAGAGAATGAAGAAACTCCAGGAAGACATAAATAGCCACTTTAGCACAGATCATATTTTTAACTGCATTCCCTTCCCTCGCTGGTGCCTCCCAGGACCCCACTGGTGAGGGCGGGGAGAGGGGGAGACAGAGGCATTGTTTGCTTGTCTGGAGGCAGACAGAGGGGACATTTAAAGGCTGGCCTGGGGACGGGAAGATGGCTCATTCAAGGCCCCAGAGTGGGCTTTGTCTCAACACTGACAGGCCAACAGAAAGAATGGTGAGTTCAGTGCAGGGGGTCTCAGGCGTGTCATGGGGTGGTCCCCCAAACAGTACCCGGCGAGGGGAGGGGCCAGGGAGCTGTCTGGGAGGGGAGGGGGCTCTGAGGGAAGAGCCTATCCACTATGGGAACCTTTAGATACTGCATCTCTAACACAAAGTCACACAGACCCTACCACACTGGTCCTGACGCCAGCCTTCTCCTGCCTCCCTGGGCAGGTGATGGAAAGGTGGAAACTGTCTCTGGTGGAAGAACAAATTGTTTTTGTGCAGCCACAGGGGTTTGTATAAAGAATCTCTTGGGCTTAGAGGAGAGCAGGTTCCCCAAAGCAGGAGTGACACTGAGCTCCCGGTGAACAGCGATGGGAGCCAGAGGCACAGCCTGCAGACTGTTGGAGCACTGCAACCCTCCTCAAAGCCACGTGAGACAACGCTCCTGTTCTCCGTCTTTGGGGGCAGCTTATTGCAGGAGTTACAAAGAAGAGGGGGCAGAGGAAGGAGCCCCTTCTCTATGTCCTGTAACTTCTGCCTTCTGGGTGGCATCAAGTGGCAGGTTAAGGTGGTAGTGAAAATGTCAATAGTTCAAATCCCCCAGCTGTTGTTTGGGAGAAAGATACTGGGGTTTGGACCCCATAAAGATTACAGCCTTGAAGACAATGTCTTTGTTGTCATGACCATCCAGTCAACGAGCCACCATTCACAGCCATCGTCTGGACAGCTAGTCTGAACCCTGACTATCCAGCCGGCACCATCCTCGGGATGTCTGCCACGTTCAAGCCCATTGTCACAGTCACTGTGTGAATCCACCTCCTTAAGCGTCTTCCTCTCCTTCACTGACCCTCTGTCTTTCCCAGCATGATGTGTTCGTCCAAGGACTGGCCCTTCCTGTTGAAATCCTACACAGTAGTTCTATTCTGTCTTCTAGAAGCTCCATGAGTCTGGTTTGATGGCAACGCTTTTGTTCTGATTTGAGTTTTTATTGATGGCACTCACTCTGCCTCCCACACTCTCTGCTAGGTTAATGCTGGTAAAATTTAGGTCAACTTCACAAGAAAGAGAAAAGATGACAGGGAGCCCTGGTAAATGGTCCCCCCCCCAAAACCAGGGAGCACATGGGATCAGCCAGGAAGGTGGAGGGTGGAATGAGGGTCCCCACACACGGAAGAGGACAAGGATGTTATGTCTGCCTGCCCTGTGACAATGCTGAGTCCTTGACAAGAAGGATGTGGCCTTTTTATTCCCTTGTCCCCAGAGCCTGACAGGAAGGAGGAACTAATATTTATTTTGTCCCATGCTGAGAGCGGGCATGTCAACATCAACCCTATACCAGGCTGGCTCTGTCAGCGCTCCCCAGCCCTCCTCCACTTCCTCCTCCAGCTTCAAAACTAAACCTTGATGTGTGGGGAGGGGGGAGTGAGGGGGTGAGGTGGGGGGGGAGAGGTAATGTCTGGAAAGCTGAGGGAAGAACCCAGCGCTGGAGATCAGGGGCATCAGCTAAAGTGACCGCTGAGTTTGCTGGCGGGAGGAGGAAGGTTCGCAGGCTGTGTCCTTAAACATGTCTGTCTGTGTAATGGACACAGTAATGGTCACTTTCGGGCTGAGGAGTAAATGAAGTGATGCATTTACAGGGCTGCCCACCTAGCAGGAGGCCGCTGTTATATACTGTCCAGTTGGTTCAGATTCTCAAGGACACAATGAAACACCACCTGCTTCTGTCCACCTGCCCACTGTTATGGCCACTGCATGCGTCCCTCCCCCTCAGGCTCTTCCTCATTGACTCTCTTCCTTTTTTTAAAAAAAAAATCTATTTTTGTGTGTACACAGTCAAATCGGATCTGATGGGTATAGGAGGAGATTACCCCTCCTTCTCCAGCACAGCATCTGGTGAATTTGAACCATATATCTCTAGGATTGCAGTGCAGCTTCTTGCCACCAGGCCACCAGAGCCCCCCTGACTCCCTTCTTTGCCTATATTGTCCATCCCCAGCTGGGGGAACCCGTGAAAGGAAGAACTTTCAATGCCTGCCTCGTTCCCAGCAGGTTCTGCCTCTCATCCTTCTCAGAAAGTTCCCTTAAAGGCCCCACCCTCACGCACACCCAGCCCTGGATGCTTCCATCCATTTGACTGTGAACTTCCCGAGGACTCCGGGGTCCCCTAGGACACAGATGGCCCCGGTAGTGGGACCATCTATCTCCTAAAGGTGCAGGAGGCCGGGATGCAGGGTCCAGAGACTTGGGACGTGCGCTGGCCAGTGAGGACTAATGGGGTGGGACCCTGCCAGCCCACACCTGGCACCCACCCAGCCAGGTGCATGTGCCCCCTCCCCACCCCCACGCAGGGAGGGTCTCTAACTGCTGGTGATGATGTCCCAGGGGGCTCCCCCCTCTACTCTTCCCCACCCCTCCCTTACCCTTGGTCTGTGCCTGCGACCGGGAGGGACTGGAGCCTCAGCCTTACTCCAGCGCGCAGCAAACGGCGTTTACCCGTCGCCTAGCAACCCCGGCCGGGCCAGGGGCGGGGCGAACCGGAGCACCTGGCCGCCGGGCCCGCCCACCGGATGCGCTCTCCTCCCTGGAGGTGAATGGAGGGGGAGAGAATTAACCAGCCATTTAGTGAACATCAGTGACGCTCGTAAATGTTTGCAAGGCACTTTGCCAAAAGCCGCTTTCCAAGTGTGCAAACGTGCAGCGGGCAGGGTGCCGAGAAATGCAAAGAAGAGAAAGGGCGCAGGACTGGGGCCCCGCTTGGCGGTCTTAGGGGTGCCTGCCTGTGTTGGGCATGTTGGGGTCTGGTCTTCCCACAGCTGAGCCCAGAAGCTGGCACGCTGAGGCTGGCGTGTTCATTGGAAATGGGTCATGTAGCTTGCAGAAATGGCAGGTCTAGTTACATATTTATTTATCATAATTTTAAAAAACTACAAAAAAGAAATGAATCATGCTTTTTTTGTTGTTGTGCCATCGAATGGGATCCGACTGGCACAGGAGGAGATTGCCCCTCCTTCACCAGCAGAGCATCTGGTGGATTAGAACCATGTGCCTTTGGGATTGCAGCGCAGCTTCTTGCCACTAGGCCACCAGAGTTCCC